TGGCTCTGCTCTTGCTTTTCAGTTGTCGGCGCTGGCGGGGCTTTGCCTGCTTGACCCGGAGCCATGTCCAGGTACCTGAAGCACTTCACGGTGGTGGGGGACGACCCGGTGCAGTGGAACAATGACTACCACAAATGGGAGGAGGAGGAGGAGGCCACCGGCGAGGAGAACGGCGAGAAGCAGCCGGGGTCGGAGCTCAAACTGGAGTCCTCCCGGAGCCGCGTCTCCTTCCAGGATGTGCTGAAAAAGCTCTTCAGCTCCCACAGGTTCCAGGTAAGGCAGAATAAACCTAGGAAGAGCAGAAATAGCGGTGAGGCTTTGCCCAAAGCGACACCAGCACTGATGCCCCATCAGCCGTGAGGCTGGAGGCAGCGACGAGGTCTTGCAGCAGCGTCTCCGGTGGTAGCGTGCTACCTGCTGAGCCAGCACCGTTTCCATCGGAAACGAGTGACTGAAGCGGGCGCAGATGTTTCCTGCGGAGCCGAGCGGCGACAAGCCTGGCTGCGCGCTGCCTGACCCCGAGCTCACTGCCGGCTGAGGAGGTACTAGCCTCCCAGAGTCCCCGGAGACCTGATGTGCCACCACTGGGGAACAGCTGGGTCTGAGCTGAAATCGAGGGGTTTTATCCACATGAGAATTTTCAGGCATAACCGTGGGCTGCTGGAGCGGGAGTCTTGAGCAGACACAACCGAAAACTCACCTAGACGCAACCAGCAGAATCGGGGATGCAGGGCAGGGGCCGGCTGGACAACGCGGGGCGAGGGTGGCCCAGCCTGTTCCCTGGGGACCGTGTCAGCTCATCCGGCCAATCCGCCCGCCTTGCGAGGGGTCTCACAGCCATTCTTCTCCTCCAACAGATCCTGGTTGTCTGCTTGGTCATTGTGGATGCCTTGTTGGTGCTTGGGGAACTGCTTATGGACTTGAAAATCATCCATCCAGACAAGTATAACATAGCCCCGAAGGTAAAATGCAAGCAAGTGTCCAAGTGAACCATGACTTCCCTCTCTTTGGTGGTGCAAAGCCCGCTAGATAGGACAACAAGGCCAGCAGGGCTTCACGCCTCCTGGTCGGGCTTGGCCAGGCTGCTGGCCACCCAGCAGCCCTCGCTCTGTCTCTTAGAGTGGAAGAACTGTCTCCAGGCCTCCTCCTCGTGGCCTCTGACCAGGCATGCCCTGCTTCGCAGGGGTTTTGCAGCCCGCGCTGTGCAAATGCCTGCAGGCGGGGGCTTCTTAGCCCTGAACTTGAGCTATCTTTTCCCAGGTCTTGCACTACCTCTCCCTTTCCATTTTAACCATCTTCCTGGTTGAGGTGGGGTTTAAAGTCTTCGTCTACCGCCGGGAGTTCTTCCACCACAAGTTCGAGGTGCTGGACGGAGCCGTCGTCATCGTGTCGTTCGTGCTCGATGTGGTCCTCCTCTTCCGGGAGCATGAGTTCGAAGCCATCGGGCTCCTGATCCTCCTGCGACTGTGGCGCGTGGCCAGGATAATCAATGGTAGGCGTGCGCGGTGGCAAGGCGCTTCCCCTGGCGCGGGGGCTGGATTTGTTGGTGTTCTCAACTGTGGTGTTTTGGGAGTCTTTTTCTTGGGTTTTTTTGTTTTGGTTTGTTTTTTTGTTCCCTTCTCTAAGCTGCCTGCAAGAGACTGGGGCCTTGTTCTCCAAGCAAACGCTGGAGCTTTGCCCATGCAGCTTTCATTGCCGGAGCGTGGCCTTAATCAGCCTGTAAGCTCTTTGAAGCAGCAACTACCCGCTGGGCGATGCCTCGGCGACAGGGACACGGTCGCTGGGCTAGCGGAGAGCCCAGTTCTGTGTTGGTGGCAGCCGCCTCTGAAAATCAGCCCTAGTCTGTTCTTGCATCACCCGCTCTGGAGAGGAGACCCCGCTTGCCTCGTGTGCGTTACGGGATCCTGTTAGCAAGGCTTTAAGAGGAAAGCAAGGGAAAGCCCTGCCCTCCTGGAGCTACCTCTGCAGCCCAGCGTGGGTGCGACTGCTCTGCCGTTCTGCTGTGAACGTTGGCAGCATCTCCAGGGATGCTGGAGGCAACGTCCTGATGTTCGGGACTCGGGATGTTCCTCAGCAGGATTTGGAGGGCTTCCCGTAAAAAGAGGAGCATAAAATGTCCCCAAATCAGGCTTTTCCCTCCCCTCCTGGCTTTAGTGTTGTAATTTTAAATTGCTGCAAAGTTGTAAATTCAGACATTTCTGAAACAATTGTAGCTGGAGCCGTTTCCTTCCTTCCCTGAAAAGTCATTTTGGAATGAAAAAAAAAAAAAAAAGGCAATGAGGTCTGCCCTAATTCCAGCATAAAACCTCAGGCTGAGTCCTGTGCATCATGAATGACCTTCTGACAAGTACTCTGTACTTGACACAGCTGTAAATAATCTTGTTAGCTGGGATGAAGGGAAAAGATGGTTGGGAGGGTGCCCGTAACCCCCAGCCCGCCTGCCATCGTGGTGCACGTGCTCCATCTGCAGCGATGTCCGGGAAGGGGGAGGCGTGAGAGCAGGCCGGTGCCTGGCTCTTGGGTTTGGAGCGAGGGTCGGAGACAAAGTGGCCTTGAGCGTGGATGCGTGAGCCACAGATGCCTTAGTGCCTCTTAACACGCTGTTTTGCAGGAGAAAAACAGTACTGCGTTTACAAATAAATTTTCTTTTTCCCCCTCCTCATGTCTCTCATCATGTCCACCTGCTTGGGACAGCAGTAATAGGAGGGGACCAACAAAACCTGCCCCAAACTCGTGCTGCTCAGGTGTTGTGCGTCTAAGTCCCAGCATGGTTCACTGCCTTCAGTCACTGTTGATTGATAGTGGCACGGTTACAGGCAGGTGGGAGATGTTTGATGTTATCAATGCAAATAAGCAGCATCACCGGTTTGTCTTTAGAGAAATGAACCCAAAAGCGCCAGGCCTGCTGCCTGCAGCACTAGAAACACGAGCACGCGCTGCTGCCTGCTTTAATGCATATTGTTCTGTAAACAGCCAGGGCAGAGCTCTGCCAGGTAGGAGGAACATGCTGTTCTTGATGCTCTTACCAAGCTATTTTTTTCCTTAAAAAACAGTGGGAAGAAATTGCCTTCACTGTGGGGGTTGAGTTCATATGTAATAACCTAACAATAATTCAGTAGAGAAATGACACCTCCGCTGTAATGAGAAACTGTGTCCTTGCTGCAGAGCCGCACAAAAAGTCAAGCCTCGCGAACCTAATGAAATGCTGGTTGAAGTGGAATACGATGTCCTGCTACGCTGGGCAGCAGCACTCGCTACCTGCGGGGGGACACAGCCTTGCTCTCTAGGCTGCCCTGTGCGCTGGTGTTACAGCAAGGCCCCCACTATGTGAAATCTGTTTAAATGCAGCCCTGCGTTGTTTCAAAGCCATGAGCAACATCCCCCAAGGCTCTGCCAAGGGAATGAATTCAAATTCAGGATTTGAATGACAGTTTGATTAATTCAGTTCTGAGGCCAGACTGCCTCTTCCCAGCAGAGTATTGGTATCTGAAACTCCAGGGTGGCCAATTTAAAAACCTCCTCATTGAGAAAAGCACTTTGAGAAGGGTGGTTGAAAGATGACAGATCCAGAGCTTGAGAGGAACAAGTTTAACTCCTTGAGTACAGGCCCTCTGTACTGTCAACCTCTCCTAGTGGCTGTTTTACATTATAAAATGACTCTGCTGTGTATTGCTCCACAGGAATAATTTTATCAGTAAAGACCCGCTCTGAACAGCAAGTGTCCAAGCTAAAACAAGCAAACTTGCAACTTGCAACAAAGGTTGAACAACTTGAATACAGCTGCACAGAGAAGGTAAGAAAACACTTTTAATTTAAACAAGAAAGGCCTACCCTCCAGCTGCTCCCTTGGACAAGCCGGCCTAGAATCCTTTTGCAAGCCTGTCACTGTCAGCTTGGTTTCTTCACCAGAAAGTTGTGTTGTGGGATGCACTGGATTGCAGAACCACAGCCTTGTCTGTCCTGCCTGGGCTTCCCTTAGCTGCTGCTTTTGCAAAGGAATGACTGCTACCTCTGTCCTACTTTAGCCAGGTTGTCCTGCTCACTGCAGAGATGTATTTCAGGGATGGGAAGATCAGTAGGAAGCGGGGAAACTATTTTAAGGTAGGAGCTATATTAATGACTTCTGTCTCCAATAGGAGCAAGAAATCGAGAGGCTTAACAGGCTGTTAAAACAGCATGGACTCATCAGCGAGCAGAAATAGGAGCCCAGTTTTTTTGAAGGTGGGGAAGTCCGCCATGGAGAGAGCGTGGTGTTGAAATGTACCCGTTTGACCTGAAAGGTTTTCATATCTCTTTGCTTTCTCTTGTATAGTGTTGTCTGTAAATGTTTTCTATCTGACCACACTTTGATTAGATCTTGGGATTGCAAACATAGTTTTACTGGAAAATTAAACACATATTCCCTGTAAACAGTGATTTCATAAGACCTTTCTTGTACAGTTGTACAGTCAAAGCTGCAAAATAATTTAATAAAGACATATCTTATAAGCTATACATCCAGAAAGTACCACTTATTTGAAAGAATTACATTTTTCTGCCATATGTTCTTTGTTAGCAACATCTGGTAGGAACTTGCAGCACAAATGATAAGAATCCAGGCCAAAAAGGTCATTTCTTCTCTGCAAGCTGACCATTCATCATTGCTACATATTTTCTTTGCCAACCATTCTTTTCGCGTTGTTAGTAGTTTCCTCATTTCTGTTGCTGCTTGTGTCACCTCGTTATTTATATAACGTTCATTTCCAAAAATACCAACATACCACATACCACTCCTTTAGTTGACAACCAGATCAGCATCAAAAGAGAAGCAAATGAGCGCTATCTTATGTCAGACAATGCCTATGTCCTCAACAGCAGATTTGAATTCTGAGACTATATTCTCTCATCTCTTCTTCCATTTAAGTGTTCATTTGCAGCCTGCTGCACTATAAAGTTCTCTCTGCTTCCACAGCTCATAAATCAACATATTAAAGGAATTAGGATATGTAAGAACAGATGTAGGTGAGTGGATTGCTGGGAATAGGTAAGACTCTAGAAAAACCATTAGAAAGCATATTCTGAAGGAGCAGGCTGGTGTCTGAACACAATGTGAACTTTTTCAGGCACTAGAAGGTCCCCGTGGTGTGAGGGTTGGGGGTTTTTTTTGTTTGTTTTTTGGGTTTTTTTTTAAGCTGAAGAGTAAGTTTCACTGAATGGGAATTTTAAAAGGTATCGACTGTAGGAAACTTCTGCAATCGATTTCAGTCAGAGCCAGCTGGAAGGGTCATTGAGCTCTTCTGAAAGTATCACTTAACTGTTCAAATTTTTAAAAGAAAGGTAATTAATTAGTGGCTTGGGAGAAATAGCTGAAAATGTGTGGCTTACTCATCTATGAAAACAGAGAAAGCTGAGGCCTTATCTAATAGCACATGAGTACTTAATTAACAATTTATTCTGTGAACAGCAGAACTAATGAAGCCTTGTTTCCTATGGAGCTGTATTTTGTGCTCCTATGCTTTTTTCCCCTTTCCCTCCTGCCTCCACATTGCAAGGCAGGCAGCTCTTACTAGAGTTAGTTCAAAGCTATGTTATGTGTTGAAAGGCCAGCTGGCAGCCCAGGCAGAACAGAAAACGGTCAAGTTCATACTGCAACCTTTTTTCCTCTTGGTGGAGGTATAATTTGTAACTTTCCACCAATGTTCCCCACTTAAAGTTTGTGAGAACTTGAGCCCTTTCTCCCTTGGCCAATTTTGACTCAGTATAGCTACACCTTAGAAGAAACTGATGGCCCAACATAGCGACTGGATAAACCTTGCTTCTTTAGGAAACAGGCTAAAAATTAGAAAAAGTTTTGGGTTTGGGTTTGTTTTTTTTTTTTTTGGTGCGCGCTTACCTTAGACAAATGGAAAGAAAAAATCAAAGGGTAATTTGACATCAATGGTAGGCCGAGCTTTATAGCCCGGCTCTGCAGGTGAAGAAACATCAGTGAAAACAACAGAACTTGTTACAGGAATAGTCCTTTCTCTTCCCAAGGGAGGCTGCAATGAAAATACACATGAGCATTAGCTTCAGTCGTCTTTGACTGCTTTTTTGGACTGGGTTAAATATTCAGCTGTTATTTGTAATTTTTTTTTTTTTTTAGCAGTTTCACATTTCTTTTCATGAATGATGTATAACTTTTATTGAGAAGTGTATTTTGGCAAGCAGCCCACAGTTATGTTTGAGTTGGAACAGAAACTAGATGCAATACATTCTAACACGAAGTCTTACCTTTATCTAAAGAGATTAACTGGACCGCTATCGCACGGTTGATCCCTAAGTAAAACAAGCCATTCTTTTTATCTTAAATTCTATAATTTAATGACATACCTGGTTCAAGGTGGCAGTAGTGACAGTTGCTGTAACATTCACTATTCTGGCTTGAGGATTGACTAGGGATCCATATTTAGTCCACTTCACTTCTATTTCAAGTGATACTGGTATCTGGCATGAGCTCTGAAAAATGTTATAAGTTCTCTCATTGTCCAAGCTGTACGGAGGTAACCACATTAATTATTCATCATATTAAACTGGCAGAATGGCCCTACAAAGCTCATTTCAGGAGGTTACCAGAGCAACTAAGCCATGGCTGCGCTCTGGACTGCTGCCTGTGCAGGCAGCACCCGTGCTTGCAGCCTCGTCTCAGTTGCATCCCTGGAGTTTCTCCACGATTGTGAAGAAACTCTTTCCGCTTTCAAAGGTGACAAACTGACGCTGTAACTGCACTTCAGACAGCACTGTTCTACCTCAGCAGAGCAGGATATATTTGGATATTAACTCAACTGGACTTTGCCTTTTAGTGACACTGCTGAGATGGCTCTTTTCAGCATGCAAGCAGGAAGGCTTCTCTAATAGAGTTTGCTGGGACAGTAGGAAACCCTTAACTCTGCCAGGACAGAATTTTGAAGCCTACACTCCTAAGTATTTTTAGATATTTACTTTTCAACAGTTGGTTTCTGTTTACAGAAATAATTCATAGTTTAGTTGCAAAAGCATGTAAGAAACCTACATATAAGCTGTCAGTGAGGGTGTGCTGTCATTCAGCCCACTCCAAGCAGCACTGCCTACCACCAAAAGTGGGAATTGCTCTGCATCAGGAGAAAAAAGGCTAGTGCGGAAGATGTTAAGAATAAACATGTTGCTCAGCTCACTCAAGTATGATCTGTTTTAAAGGACTCTTGCTCTTACCGGATATTAGAGCACCAAGCAGAAACACTGATTTTGTTAGTTCATTCTTCCAACCTCACCAGTTGTGCTTCATCCTATCTGCAGAGCAAGACTCTAAGCTGTGGGGGTTGCTTTGTACCTAACATGTTGCCCTGCTCTGTAACTGAGGTGTCTGGACCCTGCCCTGATAAAAGTAAACTCTCTCCTTACAGGAAGAGTGTCACTTTGTTCTGGATATTCCAGGAGGCCTTTCTCGCAGTTTATTTCTGCAATTTTTTTCCCATGGGTCTGAGAAGAGGAGATCACAGCCTTGCCTAAGCTAATGCAGTACAGGTACAGATCTCAGGCAAGAGAGGACAGTGAGAGTGATAAGAGGGACAAGGGAAGGGCTAACTTTCACCTGTTCTGACGTGTGGAGGTGAGTGATCGGCACCCAGTCAAGCACATCTTGGGCTTGAGAATTTCCAAAAGAGGCCACGTATTCAGGAAAGTTTTGCCCCTTCAGTAAATCTAGGAGGGTTTGAGTCAAGAGCTGGCATTCCATAGCTGCAGTGATTCTTCCAGGAAAAAAAAAAAAAAGAAATTAGTTAAAGCAAAATCCATTGGTTTGGCACAATAATAATTTCTCCTTGCTCTGATGCACTGTTTAAGCCTTCTGGCTACAGCTGCTAATGTACGCAATCTTTCCAAGAGAAAGACCATTGTTAATTAAATGACATTTCTTATAATTAAATACTCCCAATTCCAATGTTCCTACAGCTGTATGAATGTCCCAGAATCTCAGTAGATTCTAAGGGAAAGGGTTGTCATCGTGTTAAAAGCACTAATCAAGAAAAAAGAGATGTCCTCTTACCGAAACTTACAACCTGATATCATGTTATAACCAAATAATACTGGGGTTCTGGCTCCTGCTGCTGCCAGACAGTCCTGGTTGGATGTACTTTGCAGAATGGTAAATTGACCATATTTGTTAGTAGTCTGAATGATGCCAGATGTAATATACAGTTAAGGTCAAATTTAATTCTTGATATATGGTATAAAGAAAGAATCCTTAGTCATATCCTTAAAATATATCTGAAAAATGTTATAATATCTCGACTACTGTTTTACACAGTAAAGAAGCACTGGAGTGTACAATGAAGGTCTAAACCTACCTCTTCTAAAAAGTCCCATGAGATTGCAGCAAGGACTGAGTCATTTGCTATTTCTGAAACAGAGCTAAAAAACACACTTTGCGCAAAGAACAGATATGTTCTATAGAGGTCCATGCTAGAAAGTGTTTGTGAAGATGTACCAGAACAAGTGCAAGAGCCCTTTGTCTACTTTTTGCCATGATGATGGTCTCTTTTCAAAGCACTTGCTTTGTGCTTAACAAGATTTTCAACCCTGCTGCAACCTTGCTGCAAACCAAATTTAAAAAGGAAAAGGATATCCAGGTGGCCTGAAGCCTGCTCTTACAGGCAGTCCAACAACATAACCAGGATTACCACTGAGAGGAACTGGCTTCGTATTTACCTGTAATGCAAGTTCACAGTTTTAGTTCTTATCCTGCACTGAAATGACTGGAAAACACAAAATATTTCAGTTATTGTAGGATTATTAACAGCCTTAATCAATGATAGTAGTAAGACTTCTCTGTAAGATTGTAACAGTTCTCTAACATTGGGATCAGGCTTTGCTTTCACTGGGTACAACTGTACAGAGTCACAAGCTGACTCTTCTAAATCTGAAAAACAGACTTTGGAGGCCCTTAATGCACAGTTCTGAAATACTGCCTCATTTGTATAGCCAGCACAAGTTACATTTTACCTTGCTGCTACAATTGTTCTGATTCAAGTTGAGTAAGTTCTGTAACTAAACGTCTTTCAACAAGTCATCTGTAACATCTCTAGCAGTTACCTGAGTAAAGCTGATTTCAAAGCTCTGCTGTATTGAAAGTGCTTCTTTGGTAATTGCCCCTAAGACAAAAGAAGCAGCTGCTTCTGTTATTTCTCCTGCTTCTGTGTATGTAACATGATAACTCACCTGAAAATAAAACATTTTGTATATTAATTAGAACAAATACATATAAGTATGAAACTAGCACAAAGGAATTAAAAAGTATACAAGTTAGTTGCTTGTTTAAAAAACACTCTATTACACTGTAGAGATGTACTGTATCCTCAGCTGCAGTAATGGCAAGGATGAGCCCAGAGAACAGGAGGAACTGAAGTACTGCTCAGTAGGTGGCTAGTCATTTTACAAGACGTTGCATTAAAAACATAAGGGATCGTCTGTATATCCAAAGTAGCAAACACTTTTACAAGTACTGATACATAGGGACTGATTAGACAGACTTTTCCTCCAGATATTGATCTAGCTTTCTACTAAAGATTAAGAGTGTGGTTTGGAGATATTGCTTATTTATTCTAGTTTGCCACTCATCTCCCGCCAAGGGAGAGAGAGTTTCAAGAAGAGCATGAAAGAAGTGGTGGTCTAACCTGACAGACAAAAACATGACATCTGCAAAGAGGTCAGGATCCATATCAGCAGATTTCGGAGATAAAGGACATGATTGTTACCAAATCAAATCACTGATTAGCCTTGGTCAGAAATGGATCTAGGATTGGAGTCTCTTTAAAAATGACTTCTTGGAAATCTTTTCTAAGCCAATCCTAATGTTCAGCTACTCAAGATGAAAAAATGACATGATCTGCGTGGTGTATTCCTCTGTCTCGCCCATCCATGTGCCTGGGGTCATTGTCTGCCAAGCATAATAACTTAGATTCTAAACTCATCTTATTGTCTGTGATGTCATACGCACATAGTAGTAACAGAAATTGATTTCATCTTGTCTTGATGTATATTACATATATTTATTACTTTGTTGCAAAACACTATGCTCTCTTTCATCCCAAAAGCAGTGTTTCTCCTGTCACATTTACTTTGGCAATGTCACAATGTATGGAAACTGGGCAAAGCCTTTCTTGAATCTTTGTAAGTTGTGAACCAGACATGATTGGATGTATACGTGCCCTCCCTCTAGCATGAGGAGGAAGAGGAATGGGTATACCTACCCCAAGAACTATATTTATGCACAGTTCATCCAAAATCGTAGGGAGCCTGAGGACCTCGTTACTGTTCAGTAAGGTCCGTATTCCATTCAGAGACTGGACAACTATGGACTGGACAGTAATATTAACCTGAAAAACAAATTCATGTCATTTCTGAAAACTGTGGATAATTATTTTTGGCATTTTGTGTATTATTATATTTGTGAACCTTGTAAGGATGGACTAGTACTTTTATATCTATGAAAGAAGCCCAACCGTTATATTTGATACCGCTTATATTGTATTTTATACAGTATTTTATAAGTTTAAAACTTTTTTTTTAATAAATGTATGTGCTTGTTTCTTGGACATGGCTATACTGGCCAGGTGCTATCAGCACCTCTTTTATTCCTAGGTATTCATATTAAAAGACACAGGAAAGAGCTAGTTCAGGGTTCTATTCCACAGAGGCAGCAAGCAACAGTCCTTTAAGAACTGCGTTATTAAATGTGTTGCTGAAGTTCAACAAGAGGTTCTGTTTTTAAGTAACAAATATTAGCTAAAAGAGAATGAGGATATATGGGGCTGATGCATCAGACTTAAGTCTCAGCAGGTAGCCTATTATCTTGGAGTTGTTAAGTATCATTACTGATAGGAAATGCCGCAGCTGTGTTCTAATGCATATGGGGGTTTTGTTTGTTGTTTGTTTGTTTTCATTTAAAGAGCAAGGACAAAGTCCCTGTTCTGATTAAGTCAGTGGAATACTTCCACTGACTATAAAAGTGCAAGAATTTTACCCACAGGTGTTCCAACTAAGACAGAAGGATACTTACCATCTGACTTGATTTGGGTACCTAAAGCAGAAAAAAAGAACAATTTCAAACAATAGCAAAAATATGAACTGTTTAACTATCTGTTATTACAATGACTTTTACTTTGTGGCAGTAATTGGATATGCACTATATCCAGGCAGTGTGATATATTGTATCCAGGCAGTGTGAAAATAACTGCTGGTCTTTGTGGCTAGTAGGCAAAAATCTACAGTCCAATCCTCTTCTCCTTCCCCTGAAAGCATATGGAAAATTTCTTAATGACTTACATCAGTTTTGCATCAGGCCTAACTTTGGTGACATTCTCAATAAATAAATAATACATTCAATAAATAGTAGGTGAATCTAGAATTCCCTTTGATACACTATTTGCAACTCAGAGCTAAGAAACACTGGAAAAGTTCACTTCCACCACAAAGGCAACCCAAGAAAGGCATCTCAGTTTTACATGATTGTTATTGTGTATCATATTGTTTGGCCTATTGAGGGCCTCAGAGGACATTGTTCCTATTACAGATCTGTGCAAAAACACTTGTAACTATTCATAGGCTGCCAGTTTAGGAAGTCTGCCAGGCTGTTCATACCCAAAGGGATAAAGAGCTGTTGTTGTCCCATTCTGATGGTAACAAGTCCAGAGTTCAATGGTCTCTGAACAAATAAATGAGATGCAAGCATCTCTTTGTTATATAGTGCCTGGTTATGCACAGGTGCCCTGTTGGAAAGTTTCCACCAAATTTTGATAGAAAGGAAGAAATGTCAGACCAAGGTCATCAATCAGGGCTGCAAGATACTCACGTACAGCACCATTTTGTCAAGGGATTTATTTTTGTAAGTTCCCAACATGTCCTTTAATCACATCTTTGGGAAGGGACCAAAAACATGGAGTCTGACCATGAAACCAGTTCTGCAGAATTATGACATGATACTGAGACCGGTCTGCTTATCTAATGTCATGGCAGAGAATAAATTCCTGTGAGCTGGATGTGAAGCTGATGCAGGTAAAGGCTGTCACACACTGTCAATTATTTATATCAACATCTGACCTAACATCTTGAGGCACAGCTCAGCAATTAGACCCACCTGTTTGACTAGACGTGCTTGTAAAGACTAGACCTTGTACTTTAGGAAAATATGCTGTTTCTGACTGGGCAAGAGGGAATGATCACAGCTCCTACCAGTTCTATTATCTGTGGCTGGGATGATGGATTTTTGTTTCTGCAGGTCACTGGGAAGCCAGGTCAATAGCAGACAGCATTCCAGTCTCATTGCTGCCGCCCACTGAACTCATCTGCCCATCAGTCAGGGAGCCAAGCAGGGGCAGGCGCTAGTGCTTTCCTTTGTCAGCTGCACAGTACTCTAACCACATCATGTGAAGCATTGCAGTGTTGTATCTTGGTGGAGGGTACCAGGCACCCTAAACACCTCTTGCCTCTGCTGGACAAACCAGGGTAGCTAGCAAAGCTGAATTATAACAATTACCGGGGCCAAAAAATGATGGGATTTTCTGAAAGGAATTGCTGTACCAGTCCTCTCATTGAGGAGGCTGATGTGTTTTGCCATTTCTTTTGCTGGCAGCTCCACCTGCTGGCACTGGAGGGGCTCCCTACTCTCTCCCCTGTGACCACCCTGTCCCCAAGGCCAACAGCCTCTAATTAATTCACTTCTACGCTGTCATGTTAAGTCTTCAGCTCCCACTGTAGGAAGTGCAGCTGCCTACCAACCAGCTCTTGTGGCTATCTGTCTTTCTCCAGTATCTTGCAACTGACCCCTCCTGAACGGCTGTTGTACTTTGAACAGGAACTTGCCTTCTTCTAGGTTGGGCCATTGTAACTGGCAGACAGCACATGTGTAACTTGTTATGTGGAGTTCTAGCCAGGAAAGAGAATACACTTCTCAACTCAAAAACATCCAGCCACTTGGAGTCTATCCTGGGGCATGCTTTTTCCAGCATGTAAGAACTCTAACTCTCGGTGCACGTAGAAACACTCAAAGCATTTCTGAGACTGTTTTTTCCATCTCTTCCACAGCAGAATAATCAAAAGCTGCGGTTTGTAAGCAATGCGTGGCTGATTTCAATTATGTCCTCAAAGACTAGAATGATCCCACCTGTGAGAGCGTGAACTACTTAGTGGGATTTTTGTTACTATTGAGGGCTTTGGAATTTGTTAGGGGAAACAGAAGACTGGAAGCAATCTTTAAGCACTCGCTTGTTATGGAGTTCTATTAGCTTAATTCAAATACATACATACATTAAAAACATTTTAATGGAGAAGAGGATGCTGGGTTTTTTGACGTCCATCTCCTGGAAGGAGCCATCAAGTTAAGGTATTATGTGCCTCAGCTGTAATTCTGCATGCTTGATTTATTTGTCTTCCTGAATGTATGTAAAAGGGACTTATTTATACAGGAGACATGTTCCAGTTCAAAAAGGAGTGCAAAGATAAGTTTAGCTTTGAAAATCAGCCATAGACTGGATTTGCTAGTAGGTTGTTTACTCTCAATGGGGTAAAAGGTCCTATTCTTGGAGAGGAGCATAAGGAAGGCCTAGGGCACACACGAAATACCTCATTATTAAAAATCTAGTTTTGTAATAAGGCATGTATGCAGAGGATTCAACCTGACAGGTTCTTAAGTACAAAGGCTTACCAGCTCTTCAAAACGCAGGCTTCCTAGAATTATGCACTCTGTTAACAGGCTTCTTAGAAGAGCTTAAACATACACGCATGCATAAAACTGCTATCATGGCACTAAGTCTATTAGCTCAGTGACACAGACTTGTATCTTCAAGACCGTTATTTTTGTTGGCTAAGCAGAGAACAGTAGATTCTTCTCTTATCTAAGCTGGAAGTAAAAACATTTTCAAAGGCTTTTTTTATAAAAGTTTGTTGCATAGGAAGGCTTTTCCCAATCCACAACTTCGACCCCAAATGAAACACCACTTTCCTTAAGAAATAAAAGCTACTTAATTCTGTAGATGCAAAAAACTATACAGTATCAACTGTCAGCTATATGATGGCTTCAAATCATACTTACTGCTAAAATGCTGGAGTTAATATAGAACAGCATACTAACTGCTTGAATGGTGCTACACTTTTCCACACTTATTAATCTACTGCATTTTGTAGCCTGGTTTACTAAGAACCCTGGAAAAAAAGTCACAAAGTATTACTGAAGAAAATGAAATAGTAATTAAGAAAAACAGAAACAAAAACAACATAAGAACATCAATTAAATACAAAACTGAAAGTAATTGTAACTTCTATTGCAGATAAGGTTTTGTGTGTGGTATAAAGCATGATATGTTCTTAGATTCTCCAGAAATGCAATGAGGCAAAACATTAGCAACTTCCTAAAAACAGAAGTTTTAATACCAGCTACAGGAAGATTTGTGATTGCGTTTTAGAAATCTCGCAAGAGTTTCTTTTACAAGAGATTTCAGTTTTCCTATGCTCATCATGATGATCGTTATTATACCATGTTCAATAATAACAGAGAATTTGGGAAGATGCAGTCTTCTCTTTTTCTCTGCAGATTTTTAGGAAACTGCGTGAAAGGTTAAAATGTAGGCCTAAGCCTGCAACTCTGACTTGAGCTGCATTCAGGCTGTGAAAGGAACCACGTTGTACCAAAGGGACGTCTTACAAAGGCTGCCCAGCTGGGTTTTGCTTTTGTGCAATAATATTTTCCCTCATGGTATCACCCTCGTATTACTTTATTAAACCAATTATGACAAACAGTACGTTTTAGTGGGATAAACAACCTATTAACAATACTCACCAGAACTTACGTATTTAAAACTGCATGTTTAACCGAGATGCAACACAGCTTCCAGTCTATATCCAAAGAAACTCACAGAAACGGAAGTTCTTCGAAAAACATTTGTTCATGAAGCTTTATCTGAATTTAGTTGGTGTGCATGCTATTTTACTGACTGATTAAACTCAAGTCAGGAATAACAGGAGAATATTCTAACCCAAATAATGCCTTTGAAAATGCATTTTCCAACCTGCAGGATTAGCATCAGAGCACCACGAGGAGACAACAGGACTAGGCAGTCTCAGAAATGCATCTGCTGTCTGTATAGGAACACCATACTGCCAAATAAAAGGACATATTCAAGCACATAGGTGCATTTCAGTTCATGGAAAGCTTTGGAGTATTTTCATTAACAACAAATCTGAACAACAGAGGTCTTTATTTACACTACATTTCTCAATATTGTCTACTTCTATGCACATCAATTCTTAAGCCATAGCTGACAGCTTTCTTCATGTTTACAGTAATAAAACAGCTACTTATTTTTCACAGATGTTAACGTAACTCACTTCTGAAGCTGGCTAACATAAAATGTTGCATTTCACTCTGATATTTTTATATTTAAAGACCAAAATAAAGTTCCTCTGTTTGAGGAAAACCTGCAGCTTCTTACAAGCAGATGCAAAGAATGCTCGCTTGCTCTGAGATCGAACAATATAATACTGATTGAATGAAACCATTGTTTACCTCATATCTGTAGGTTTCATTTGCATCAGAAGGATTTTGAGAATCTGTGTTTATACTCCAGCTATCAAATTCAGTACTGAAAGTAGCACTTCCAAACTGTTTAAGCAATTGATCAAAATTTTCAGAAGTAGGCACTTCAGGGGAAATGAAGGAGAGTGCTTGCTTATCTGTCAAAACATTTTAAAGAATGAGATAACATTTAGGATACAAGATACAGAAGCAGTATTTAGAAATAATTTTGTTTTGAGTTAAAAAACAATGACAGGAAAATACCAAAGAAGGATGAACATTCAGGAGAAAAGCTGGGTGGTATCTCAGTTTATGATTTCACCCTGATTCATGAAAATACATACTTAAACCTAAGGAAAGAGGTAAGCCTCTTTCTTTTAAAATCTTGGTTTCTAACAGCATTGTATGTTCCAAAACAAAGACCTGCTAAGTAGTACAATTTCCATGCTAAGCATTCAGATAAATACTGCACTGTCTTAATTAAATTAAGAGAATAGAGCACTCATCATTTCTCCACTTTGGTAAAATTCTTAACCAAAAAAGGTTCCTTTTTTTGAGAAAAATGTCACTTTTATCTCTAAAGTTGCCAATGGAAAGGAAAACGTTTTTTTTATTTTTATTTTTTTTTAAGTAAGCCTAGTCAAAGCCAACAGCATTCCTTCCACAGAGAAGACTAAGAAGAGTATCTGAGACGTTTGGACTCCACAATTTCACGAGTGAAAGGATTACAACATACAGCCTGTGAGCATACAGAATAATCAGTTTTCAGACAGGTTTAGTTACTTTTAATTTTAATCTGCCTTTTTGATACCTAAAGGGCTCACAAAAATAATAGTGCAATGCTTAGTATTGGCAATAGCTCTACTTACAGTTCGTAGCATGAATGCAGAAAACATTAGGATTGATTTGGTCAATTAATTTAAATATCCTTTCTGGTGGATTTGCTTCAACATCAAGTGAATATATAGCAGCTTTCTGACTGCAAAGATGGCTGTCACCTCTGTGAATAATAATAGCAAAATCAATGATCCACTAGAATTTAGTATTAACCATTTCATTTTAAAGTTATCTTCATGTGTTGAGATAGCATCAGAAAAGTACTAACAGAGTTACTCTTTTTTAAACACAGTTTATATAGTAATCCTGTATCCTTCAAAGGCTTGTATCACTTGTTACTGTGTGCTTAGTAACAAATAATAAAGAAACATCTAAGACATTTTTTTATCTAGCAGAGGAAACTGCACAAAAAGCAACATGAAATAAGGTAAGACATAGCCAGTGGTGAAGGGAAGAACCTCAGAAGAATAATACTAGAGTTAAGATGGCAAGTTGGATGGGATTCAGATGGTGTGAAACACCACAAACACAGGATGCACCACAGGCTGGACAGCTTGGAAGCACTCTTACTTATACAAGAGAGGTGGGAAGGATGACCTTTAAGGTAACATGATGTTAAGCAGGCCAAAAACAGTAAGTTTCATGGACATTGGAATAATATTTACCTCTGTAAAAAGACACAGTGACCTACTTCAGATGCATGTATAAGAAAGGACAAGGTGAGAAACCGGGAGATGAAATAACGATCCAATGTGGCTGTACCAGTGCCTTCACCTTCATGTATTTCTAGCATGTTGATTCCTGGCAAACTGGTGCTTATGGCAGAGCGAGTTAAAACAGTCAGGGGTAGAAAGTGATAAAGCGAAATGAGTTTTAGGAACAACTTCTTATGCATGGAGCTAAACTTTTTCAGGAGGTGAACCATTTCTTAATAGGATCATATCCTAAATAAAACACCCCCGTTTTCTGCATTTTACAGACCACATAACCTCTAACTTGTGGTCAAAACCCCGTTAGTAACCATTACAATTATTCAAATGTATATAAATCTATAAGTAAATAATGAGATCCAGAACACTTGTAGTCATTGAAAATACCATGGATTTTCATGCAAAATGAAAATCTTACAGGAAAGAATTTAGGAAAAAAGATACAACTTGATTTTCTGCATTTCTAGTTGGCAAAGACAGACTAGTCACCTGAGATAATTAAACTGTCATTCAGGAAGGTGTTGATTAGACCTTTCTGATATATATAAATACCTATAAATGGGGAGCAGTAGTCATTGTGTGCAAGAACAATAAGGAATGGCAGTAGAGGATGACTGCTAATTGAAATTTCAAAGCACTGAGAATAAACTCCAGTTTCCAGATTGGCATAATTTATGCAGAAGGTAGGTTGAAGAGCTATACTTATTGTTCTGAAAAGTCACCAAGAGATTTTTACATTAAGATTCTGAAATTAACTTTAGCTTCTACTTGAGAAGATGAAATCTGGGTAAATGTATTTTCAGATAGACTGTAAGTAGCAAAGAAACAATAATCAAGAACATAATGCTGATAGTTATGTTACATTTTACTTTGTTTGTGAAGTGACAATGGCAGTGAGACAGCAAGTTGCGTACTTGCTCATAAAATGAATACCAGAGTGATTCTCAGAGTATTTCACTACAGACCTGAATCAATCATGTTTCTATCTGATGCAATAAACACCAATGAAAGAGGTTACTGATAAATTGCTGATGACCCACATGGTCAAATTGTCCCATGGTACCAGCTTTCTTAGCTTCCAGACACTGTGTTATATTGATAAAAGTCTAAAGATACATTATTCTTCCCTCTAAAGAAGCTAATGCCCACGTACAGTAGGACAGTGGAATGGGGAAAAGCAAGGAGCACAGGTCTGGAAAACAGGGAATGAGAAACTGGAGTCAGGTGCCAATTTGCTTTTCTCCTACCTGCTGGGGAAGGAAGGACTGCATGCCTAATGCAGGAGGGACTGCTGAAAAGGTAGTCAGGATGGATGGGTTAGGGATTTGTAAGAGGACAGGATAGAGCCCTTACAAATGCACGCAGCAAACAGGACAGGAGTTTGTATTTCAGAAAACCATTTATTCACTTACGTGACAATAGGAACTGAACATGTAGTAAAGAGACTGAAATCTGCTGCACTGCAGTCAGGGTCACAGCAGCAATTTACATCACACTGCGCCACCAACAGATCACAAACACACAGCTTGGCAACTGGAGAAAAAGATTTAAATTAGTGTTAGAATCAAATCTAAACACATTACAATATGTACTCAAACACTTTCATTTTTCACCTTGCCTAATTTTGACAATGGTCAAAAGTCTACATCCAAATTCACTTTTTTTTTTAACAAGTCATTTTAAAAAGTTATCTTTTCCAAGGCATACTATAAATCTGATCCTGTGTTCCCTGTGAAATCAAAAAAGCAATTGGAGTTAATAGGAATGCTGAAGGTATTAAAACGTTATGTAGTACTGCTGAGAAAAAAGATACAAATAATGGAGCAACGCTAGGTTTGTTTCAGCTGGGGGGGATGGGGGGGAAGATGAAAGGAGAGAAGGGTTATCCTACAGCAATGAGAAGTTTAGAAGTATCAGACGTGTCCCAGGATACAGTAATGTTTCCCTGATGTTGCAATATAACTAGAGTTAATTTCTTTACAGTTGCTTTTTCTCTGTGTCTTCGGATACTGTGAATATTGCAATAATAAGGAAGTAATCACCAGCAATATGGTGAACTGTCTTGACAATATAAATTTAGCAGCTTCTTAAAATATTCTTCTGTTCCCAGGTTTACAAATTCAGAGAACAGATATTAATTTACTTAACTGGTTTTGAAAGTGGCTGTTCTGTATTAATCTAGATTTAAGGGCAGCATAAAATGTAGAAAATGAAGATCAGCACTGCATAGGCCGGACACGAATGACTATTTAACCTCGTAACTACCACTTCTTTCCTTTCAGTTTGACTGTTAACACACTTCCCTGTGGCCCTCCGGAAGCTCTCTGCCCACCATGAACCGTATCCAGCCAGTTCTTGGAATTTCTGAAGTTCTGACTGTTCTGTCAGCTGAATTTAGGATTGGAGTCTTCTGCTCACCTTGTTGTAAACAAGGTAAGTTTAAACACAGCAGGGGTTTAAGCCTCCCTTCCCTAAGGAGGCACACGCTAGGACGCGTTTAATTCCGCAGGTGATCTAGCGAAACGGAACGGAGGGAGGCAACACTGGGAAATCAAAAGCTGAACCTATCCGCTGACTGGAAGAAGCGGGAAAGGCTTGCCGAGGGCACAGCTGTGACAGAATATTATCTATAGGGTCCAGGGCCGAATGAGGGGCTCGGGCGGGCCATGCCCAGCCCCACGCGCACGCAGGGTCTCCCCGCAGGCCTGGGGCCGGCCC